CCCCCCCCCCCAAAAGATTACAAAGTCGAAAAGTCGGGCAAATGTTCAACATAAGTCAGGCGAAGAGTGGGAAATTGAAAAGCCAAAAAAGTAGTCAAAGCAATAAAATCTCTCTTAATAATAACCCCAGTTTGTTGGGCAAACAAAGCCAGTTGGGCAATATTCGCTTCACAGTCGGGCAATATTGGGTTATTATAAAAATAAATGGGACAAATTCTCTCAATTTTGCGGGAAATTATGTCAATTTTGTGATGTTTGGAAAATTTGTTTGATGTTCCGAAAAATTTTGGTATGTCCGAAAAATTTTTGGACCCCTAAAATGGTACACTGACCGAAATTGTTCCGGAAAAAAAATTTTTCGGCACTGGTCGGGCACAATCCGAAAAAGTCGGGCAAATTTCTTTCCGCCCCCCCTAATTTTTTCCTTCCGGTACGCCCATGGGGTTAATTACCAGTTATGAAATTAATACATATACAAGGGCAATTTTTAAGTTTTTTAGATACGTATTCGTCAAGAAAACTATACTTTTCTGCAAACTCATTATGTGATGTCACACCGTTGATATTTGCATATGAAACAAAGTTGAATATCTTGAAAAGGGAGCAAATTATTAGGTCATTTTAAATTATCTTTACAATGCAACCATGCATAATATACCTTGACCTTGATAAAATATTTTTACAAACAAATACAGAGGGTTAATTACCAGTTATGAAATTAATACATATACAAGGGCAATTTTTAAGTTTTTTAGATACGTATTCGTCAAGAAAACTATACTTTTCTGCAAACTCATTATGTGATGTCACACCGGTGATATTTGCATATGAAACAATGTTGAATATCTTGAAAAGGGAGCATGTTACCAAAATTCTATAAAAGAAATTATTAAGTCATTTTAAGGTAATTCCGCAGTAATTGTTCCCGAAATGAGAATGTGCTGAAACTTCCCAGGCATGGAGTTTGTGATGTACTTAAAGTAAAATCACACAAAAAAGTCGGGGTCACCGAACTCGTTAAGAAGATATGACAATCACAATATACCACCTTTACCCCAATATAACGCCATCTTGACGCTCATTACGAGTAACAGCAAACTCACAACAGCCCGATATTTATTGACGTTTTTAGCGCGGATTTTGCTTTAGTAAACCTATCTTGTAATTATTTTTGAAAAATATTGTGTTCTGAGCAAAATGAAACTACTAACGTGTACAATTCTGATCCACAAATGTCTTTTGCACATTTCTTTACATATCTTTCTTTGAGAACATGCATTGATAAAGCATTTTTTTTCAAGATCCAGAAATGAATTTTCTTTTAATTTCGGATATGAAATGTAAAATGCATTAAAGAAATAAATTATCAGTTAAAAAACGGGGGTCACCGATCTTTTTAGGGAATTGTGGCATTAAAACGTGAAATACAAGTAAATAAATATACTACAGACACAAGGAACCCTAGCTACACTTTTGTATGCGTTTTTTGAAAACATAGATTTTAACGTAATTCTTTGCACGAATGTAACCAAAGTGATGTTTTGAAGTAACATAAAATTGTCATAAAATGATTTTTTAAATGGTATGTATAATGGATGAAATTATAAGTTATAAGATGTGCGCAGTAAAAGTGCGCAATGCAAAACTGCGGAATTACCTTAAATGATCTTTACAATGCAACCATAAACCTTTGGGATGGAATTTCGTGTCATAGGCACTTTAAACAGCAGAAATACAATGAGCGTCATACCACTGGACTATATATATCTGCCTGAAAGATAATTCTCCACATATTTGCAAGTACTTAACAGATTAACAGATCACGTGTAATAAAAGTGTGAGGTAGGGTTTACACAATGGATTAAGTTGTACAAACAATAACATTTTTTTTACTACTTAATATATAACCACATTAAGTAATGTCAAATCGGTAGAATTTTCAACATATTTTAATTCTTGGATAAGTCTTATAAAACTAACACAGTAACAGACCAAAGGCGCCAAGGAAACTGACGGAAACTAAATATATATTAAGAGATGCATGCAATATCTAAGTGTGAGGGTTGAGTTTGCATTGCTATATAATTGGCCATTGAATTACGACAGCCTTCGGGATGATCGACTAAAAGCTATAAGTATGCTTGGACAGAAACTATAGCCTTTTGAAAGACGTGAATTATAACTGTTATGCGCATTTTTTGTGTTTCTTTAGAAAATGCATTAATAAGAATTTTGTATCGCACACGAAAGAGATTTTCGACCACTCGAAACCAGACTTTAGTTTCCCGCCCACCGCCCTCATTAATGATATCTTGTTCACATCATTTGACTTTTTGATAAAATATACAAATTTTATCAGTAAATATCAGAACTCGCGACGCAACTAATTGTTGAAGTGACCATAGATTTGATGCTTGTGATGTTACTCTGGGTGTATATCCACACCGGGCAAGCTTGAAAAATATGCCTGACCACGGTGGGAATCGAACTTACGACCTTTGGAATACTAGCCCAATGCCCAATTCCCACCGTGGTCAGGCATATTTTTCAAGCTTGCCCGATGTGGATATACACTCAGAGTAACATCACAAGCATCACTATTCACCTGAGTACATTACACCAACACTAGATTTCAGTTACATGTAAAAAAATTCAACTCGAAACCGCATCAGTACACAAATCCAATCCATTCAACAAATTTTGTCTGTTGTTTTGTAATAATTTTTGGGATTGTACAGGAAAAGATTTAAATTATAACTTCTTACAAATTATTGATATTAATCTTGATCTCTGGAATATGCAAATATAGGACGATCTGAATTGTTTAGAAAATTTTGTCCATTCTTTTCATTGCAATGTACTTAGACTAAGACGTCTTAGACGCCGATGATGATGACGATTTACAAAAAAGTTTAGCAAGAATGTTTTACCGGTTGCCCTATCCTGAGTTCAGATAATTGCAAAATGATAACGTTATTTTTTTTTGTATTCTCGACGGCAATGAATAATGAAAATGGAAAATGCTCGGCTGTAATATATAGAACACACTTTTCGATCGCCAATCGAAAGTGTGTTCTATATATTACAGCCGAGCATTTTTAAACGATTCTCATTGGTGTGTTTTTAAATCACTATAGTAAATGATGATTTGACTTCAAAAACGAATCAATATTTACATAAACAATGATTTTTTTCCTTCCATGAAAGGAAAGGTCGTTTGCGCAAGCATGTACAGTAACTGTCGACTTTCGAGAGTCGAAAACGTTTGAGAAAGCAACAAGACTTTTATGATTTTGCTGCTGCGGCGACAATGTTTGCTAGTTTGCCTTTATTAATTCTGGTTATTTGTTCTTTCTCGAATGCAGCTTCTACGCAAAGCATCTCGACTGACGTAGGGCATCGCAAGAGATACGCTCGGGCGATTAGCACGCCACCGACAATCGAAGTTCTCGTTGTCGCCGATGAATCAATGGTGAAATTTCACGGAAACGGATCTGTCAGACAATATGTATTGACCATAATGGCCAAGGTAAGATTAGGGGGAGGTAGTTATGCGGTTGCTGACACAATGGTTAGCGCATGTTCAACTCAGACACCGGCTTTTTATTCCTGCAATATACGCGGCCGTTCTTTGTCCGCTTCAGTAAGCCTGGTTTCCATATGGTCGTAAAGATGGAGTCACGATCTTTCTCATCAGCCGAAATACAACATTTTAGAACTGAAAATACGCGGAGTGATTATAACTAGAGAATATATAGTTATGATTTATGTGTGGTTTACAGGTATATGCTATTATAAACTGGCCGTTGAGAAAGATCGTGACTCTATTTTTACGACCATTCCCAACATATGGAAAGCAGACTTGAAGAGTGCTTCCTCTTCGACTCTGCCAGGGTTTCTCCAGGTATACTCCGGTTTCCTCCTCAAGTAACACTGGAGAAATTATAGCAAGAGATGCATGCAGTAGTGTAGAGCTTAAACGATAACAAGGGGAGGGGGACTCTCAAGAGGAGGAGGGGGGGGGGGGTGGAGGTGACAAAGCGTGCGGTTGGCTAGGCGTGGAGGGTACAACATGATAAACATGGAAAGTTCCTGTGTATATTTTTGGTTCAAGTAATTCTTCAACTAGAGTTGGGTTTTTTCAAGAAAGGATTTAAATTTGCAATTAAAAGATTCCGATATACCTGATCTATTCATGTTGGAGCCTTATAACTTATTTATTCATATCTGCCCATAGTGATCAAGTACAGATTTTTTTTTTCTGTGTTGGTGTTGTGTGCTCAGGTGAATATGATATTTGTGATGTTACTCTGAGTGCATATCCACACCGGGCGAGCTTGAAAAATATGCCCGGCCACGGTGGGATTCGAACCTACGACCTTTGGAATACTAGCCCAATGCTCTTACAACTGAGCTACGCGGTCAGGACGGTTCGAGTAAGTGATATTTCGGAACAGAATCTAGTTCCTTCGATACCAATGTAATCTAGTAATATGATTTTTTTTTCTGTGTTGGTGTTGTGTACTAAGGTGAATATGTTTGTGATGTTACTCTGAGTGCATATCCACACCGGGCGAGCTTGAAAAATATGTAGGCTAGTATTCCAAAGGTCGTAGGTTCGAATCCCACCGTGGCCGGGCATATTTTTCAAACTCGCCCGGTGTGGAAAAGCACTCAGAGTAACATCACAAATATCAAGTACAGATTATTAAAACAATAACCACATCATTTCAACCCTACAGTTTCCTACAGAACTTTCCAGGTCATGATTGTACAATCTAAGTCAATCTCTCAAATCGACACGAAATCTTTAACTATAGGAGGACCAACCCCCCTGAGCTTACAACTAGGGGGAATCGGCCCCACTGAGATCTCTTCTACACCCCCTTGATGCATGGTTATTACTTAACCTCTAGGAAAACAGTTTAGAACTGAGTTATCCAGCTTATCAATGAAGTTAAACAAGCTTATAGATATCCTTCAGTATACAAACACTGGTACAATAAGTAATGCCCCTTTGTGCGCCTAGTTGAAGAGCAGAGTAAAAGTTCGTTTATACTTATCATACTGCATAGAGGGAGCGGGTTATATCTGAAACTATTGCTAGGCTCCTTGTGCTAATAAAGGTGATCACTTTCTTGTTTCACTTTGAACAAAAGGTCAGAGACATTTTCCGTCACAGCAGTCTTGGGGTTCGAGTGAATTTAGTCGTCTCAAATTTGATCATTTTAACTGGCGAAGAGGTACGTATATGAATGGTTTGGACTTACAGTCAAGTTTTAGTTTGCGTTTGAATGTAACGAAAGGCATCTTGGGTAAAGTTTGGCGTGAGATTTTGTTGCCATCTCATTCGATTCAGAAGTTGAAGGGCGTTGTAAATGGAAATTATCGAGTGCAAATTTCTATACCGTATTACAGACTTGCTCTTGTTAGCTTGTTTAACACTTCGTATATTGTGTCTGTTTTTATGTTACTATAATTGTAATATCAATATGCGACCACAACATGCATTGATGCATGTATATGTTCTTGGGAAAACTCGTACAATACAATACAATACAATACAATATAACTTTAATTCACTCTTAGATAGAAAATATACATAAATAATACACAATTCTTAAATAATTGATACATAGATAGAATTTATATTTTAAATAACATTTTTAGAGCTTGGAAGCTAAATGAACCGTTAGGTTTTCTAGTTAGCTTCCATTGATTTTTATTCTTATTAGATTAACATAGATTATAATGTCAGACAACTGAAGAAAATATTTTAATTTTCCATTAGTTTATGTTAATAGAAAAGCTGAAGAATATATAATAAGTATAATCATACATGATGCAAATTTCAATAGGTATGTTGTTTAGCCAATATTCAATAAGTAGGTTTTAACTTGCATAAAGAAGGAAAACAAAGGTAGATTTTTAGTTATATCTGGGATGCGACGGTTCAAATTGAAATTCTTTAGAGTAAAGCACTATACCGACAATCGAGTTCTCCTTGACAAATTTCTTTCACAAGTCTACTTTCTCGTGTGCACAGTCAACAAGTTTTCCTTAACAAGTTTTTTTGCTCGTATGCACGGAATGTTGCTAAACATTCATCTCACGTCAAGACCACCATTTGTTTGCCAAGACCATAGAAGTATTTCTCGTACACTTGTCAAGTCTTCCTTGGCGACCGTACACACGAACAAATTTTCCTTGTCCTTTTGCTGGCATGACTAGCTTTGGAACAAGGAAAAATTGTCAAAGTTTTGCTCTACACACGAGCAAATAAAACTTGTCAAGGAAAACTTGTCACGGAAAAATTGCCCGTCTGTATGAGGCTCAGAGGCTTAATGCACCCTTTCGATAATTACGTCACAACTATACTGTTGTCAACTTAGGACCACCTTAAATGGAAAGGATTTCAAGATTTTTTTCTCATAGGCTATGCAAAGAGAAGCAGAACATCCTTCTTCAACACATGCATGAAAAAAATTGTTTATTTTGACCAATAAATGTGAAAATAAGCTTTAACACGAAAACGACCTGGAGCCTCGTTTTCGTGTTAATGCTTATTTCCATATTTTTTTTATCAAAATCCAAAATTTTTTTCATGCATGTGTTGAAGAAGGATGTTCTGCTTCTCTGTGCATAGCCCATGAGAACAAAACCCTTGAAATCCTTTCCATTTAAGGTGGTCCTAAGTTGAAAACAGTGTAGTTGTGACATAATTATCTTGTAAACAGTCTTTCTTTACTTACAGGAGAATCTATTTGTCAGTCATAACGCGGATAAGACAATGAGGAGTTTTTGTCAATGGCAAAGCGATCAACATATTCATGATGGAACAAATCACGACGTTGCATTGCTGTTGACAAGGTTCGCAAATATGGACATATTGGACAGCTCTTCCTAGGGGCTCTTTCTAGGGGCCAACACATTTGTGTGTTACGACGGGAGGAAATATACTCTGAAAAAATCAGTATATATGAAGCAGGGGCGGATCTAGCCTCATCTGCGAGGAGGGGTGCATGTTTTCCGTGGCGTGGTACATGAAGGAACCTTACTTCCCACTCTCCTCTGCAGTCTGCAACGCTACTATCCCAACATTACCATTATATGAGATGGCCGAATCTGCATGTTCGCCGTTCTGTTACGTTTTACATTATATTTTGTTTATAAAGTTTACATCGGCTTTTTATCACGTATACTGCGTGACTGGACAGTTGCTGTAGCACAGTACAGTACAGTAAATATGCTTGTTAATGTGCATGCAGTATATTCTAAAATATGGCTGTATAACAACCTTGACATGTTTACATATTTAACCATGATATTTAGCTAAAGCATTCCAAGTATTTTATCTTGAGTTCGCAAATCAATTAAATCATTTCAAGAAATCAAAACGTGCTAACAGTATAGACGTTCCACTAATCGCTATTCGAAAAGCAGAAAATTTATGGTCAAGCAGCCTTTTTTAGGATGGTGCTGGACTTCTCTAGGGGGGGGGGAGGGGTGGTGGTGCTAGACACTATACTAGGTGGGGTGCGCGCACCCCTCGGCACCCCCACGGTAGAACCACCCCTGGTATGAGGTGTTTGACAGTTAAAGAAGAATTTCTCTTCATATGGGGTAAATTATAATCAGACAACTACCGGTGCTGGAATGAAACACGGGTCAAATAGATGAAAGGTATGCATGTCATACACTAACCACCCGTGCAGTGACAGCCAACATAAGGAACTAATGAGAACGTATGTTACATTTTCAATTGAATCCAGCATCTATCTTGAATCGGACATTGCCACGATTTTTAAAAAAAGCTTTCATTTCTGTCTAGACTCAACATCTGCTCGAATAAAGACAAACCATGCAACACTGTCGGTAAGATGTAGAACTATTTAGGGAAGAAAATTTTCGCCACAAGCTCAAGGTGACCTAGAGTATATTCCTCTCAACAAAGACTTCTAATAAGGCCACATAAAAAAAATTACTTGTTTAGCGTCCACCCATTTTAATTTTTCTAGGTCGGGCGGGCGGGGGTTTTTTTTTTCGTAAAATGCAACACAAAATTCTGCTAAATGCAGGAAATCCAGTATATTACCACAGTCAAAACTCACTTTAATTCTTTCAAAATCCGTTCATGTTTTTTAATACCGTTCATGTTTTTAATAAAACAGAAAATTACCGTTTGGCGGTCACGCGCGAACACTTTAGCTGCGAACAGGCATATTCTGGGAAGGAAACTTTGTGTAAACGTATTACATAGCTCCCAGAAGAATAAAATCGCCATTTTTTCAAGTAAAACGGTCTTTTTTATAGAGAGTTTTTGCACTAAACTCGGACAGATTTAAAAAAAAAAAAATTTAAAAATTGGAGGTCGGGAACTTTTATCAGGTTGGGCGGGGACGCTAAACAAGTAATTTTTTTATGTGGCCTAATGTTACTCATGCATATACAGCCGATTCAAAGAAGGTTGTCCTTTCGGCAAGCATTAAACTCTTAACCTTAAACTCTGAGCGCGCGAAGCTTAATGGGAGCATACGTTTCAAGCTTAGTAGTTGAATATTGCAGCTATATATTTGTGAATGAATTGTCCTCGTAAGGAGATATTTACCATGTCTCTAAGAAATGGGCCCCATATATGATTTCTAAACTGATTAAATGATGCTCCCATTATGCTTTGCACGCTTAGAGTTTAAGGTTTAAGGTATTGCAAAGGACAACCTTGTTTGAATTAGCTGTGTACAAGTCTTGTTCAGTAAGGTGGCCAGTGTAATAGTGTGTCACGACAGGGTGTCCCTCAAGAATGCAATAGCTCCTATCAGTCCTATGACTATGTTCTTGCCAGACCAGACTTTCAAAACAGCCATCTTAGTGTCAAAAGTCATCTCTTAGATTAAATTTTCAATGCCCACTGATAATGAACAGTGTAAAAATCTGGAACATATAGCCATTGCATTTTTTCGGGACACTTTGTAAATCTCTGCAACAATATAGTGAAGACTGATTTGTGAACAGCGCAAATGAACAAAAAACAAGATAGATCCAGATTTCACAATGGTGACGGCATGGCTTGTTCGCGATAAGCTACGATAGATATGGCCAAATGCAAACCAGACCGTAGTATTTTTCTTATCAAGCGATAATAGGAAGTTTACGTTAAGACGGCGACGTCAGGATGACGGCTATCCATACAATATGGCATTAATCCTACAGCGCGCAAAAAAAGAATAATTGCAGGGGTGTTGGACGTCGTCCAAGCTCTGTTGATAAGGACAAAATACATATTTTCACGGCTCGTATAGTACGCTAGCATTTCAAGCCATGACGGGTAGTTTTTATAGCAGAGTTCATCAAAATTGCTCGGAAGGTTAAAAGTTCTGTTTTACTCGTTCGAAACTGTATTAAATTCATACGAAAGTAAATACAA